CAGCTAACACTATACCACTTCCTGTGTTATGAGTAATGTTTAATAATAAAGTAATCCTAATTCCTTCATTCTGTCTCTCGTATCATTGCTGCCATTCATCTCACTTATATTTAAGCATACCTAAGCATATATATACATAAGATATATCATAAGCATATATGATCAAATATATTATTGCTCTTATTATTTTGAACAAACTTATCTGTTATATCAATTAAGAATAAGAAAAATAAAGTTTTTATATTACCTTTACTTACTCCTTTGATTCTCTTCCTTTCTTTATGTAGACCAGATTTTCTGACCTATATTATTTTCCTTCTCTCTAAAGAATTTCTTTTAACATTTCTTGCAAGGCAGGTCCACTGGCAACACATTTCCCCAATTTCTGTTTGTCTCAAAACTCTGTTTTTACTTTACTTTTGAAGTATTATTTTGCAGGATACAGAAATCTAGTTTGGTGGTTTTTTGTCTCAATACTTTAAATATTTCTCTCCACTCTTCTTGCTTGTGTGGTTTCTGAAGAGAAGGTGGATGTAATTCTTATTTTGTTTCTGGGTAGGTAGGATGTTTCTGTCCTCTGGCTTCTTTCGGGATTTTGTCATCATCTTTTATTTTCTATATTTTGAAAATGGTACGCCTATGTGTAGGTTTTTTGTTTGTTTTTTCCCTGGAATTTATCCTGCTTGGTGTTCTCTAAGCTTCCTGGATCTGTGATATAGTGTCTGACATTGATTTTGAGGAATTGCCAATCATTATTGTTTCAAATATTTCCTTTGTTCCTTTCTCTCTTTCTTCTTCTTCTGGTATTCCCATTACATGTATGTTATACCTTTTATAGTTGTCCTACAGTCTTTGGATATTTTTCTTTTCTTGTCCCTGTTCTCTTTTATTTTTGTTTTTTGAGAATTCTATTGACATATCCTCTAGCTTAGAGATTATTTCCTCAGGTGTGTCTAGTCTACAAATAAACCCATCAAAGACATTTTTCATTTTGTTAGTGTTTTTTATCTCCAGCGTTTCTTTTTGGCTCTTTCTTAGGATTTTCATCTCTCTGCTTCCATTGCCCATCCGTTATTGCATGCTGTCGACTTTACCCATTACAGCCCTTAGCATATTAATCATAGTTGCTTTAAATTCCTGCATCCCTGCCATGTCTGGTTTTGATACTTGCTCTGTCTCTTGTTTTTTTCCTTTTGGCATATCTTGTAATATTTTCTTTTTTTTATTCTTTTTAAAAAATTTATTTATTTTTCAGAGAGAGAGTGAACACAAGTAGGGGGAGTGGCAGGCAGAGGGAGAAGCAGACTCCGTGTTGAGCAGGGAGCCCAATGCAGGGCTCCATCCCAGGACCCTGGGATCATGACCTGAGCCGAAGGCAGACGCTTAACTGACTGAGCCACCCAGGCGTCCCTCTTGTAATATTTTCTTGATGTCCTGGGTAGAAGGAACTGCTGTAAATAGGCGTTAGTAATGTGGAGGTGAGGTAAGGGGGAGGCAAAGAGCTTTATAGTCTTATGGTAGGTCTCAGTCTTTTAGTCTGCCTATACTTCTGGACAGTGAACTTTGCAAGTGTTTCTCAGTTTTTTCTCCCTTCCTTAGGTGGGACAGGATGGCTAGAGTAGGATGAAGTTGAGTATTTCCCTTCCTCAGGCCAGTTAGGCTCTGATAATACCACAGCTGCTTAGACTCTGCTTAACTAGTTTTTGCTGAGGGCAGGCCTTGTTAAGAACACAGCGCTGGCATATTTCAGAATGGTTCCTTTCTCCTCCTCCTGCGGAAGGAGGAGAGTTTTCTCCAAAATTGACTGTGGGAATCTGGTTGAGCTCCTGGAGATAAATCTCACAATGTTGTGGGGGCCCCTCTGTGATTGGGTTCTTCTGGAGTTTTTAACTTTTAGATTTGTCCACGCTGAGCCTCTAGTAATTTGTCAATTGCAGTTCAGGTTTTCCTGCCTTGGCACTGGTTCCTGCAAAGGTTTCCACTTGTGAGTCGGCTCCAGTTCAGATACTGGAACTTAAAAACAACCACTCACAAACAGCAAACTGGGCTTTCCCCAGTAATGCAACCACATACAGGACAACCAACCAAATAATTTCCTCACTTTGCTTCCACGTCTGCTCTGTAAAATCCTTTCCCTTAGCTTCTACCACTAGAGTACTCCTAACCTCTTTCAGTTTGATGATGCCTTGTGCAAATTGATGTTTGATCAAATAAGCTCACATAAATTTTAATGTGCTTCAGTTTCTCTTTTCACACACTGATACCTATTTTATTTATCTGCTTACCTTGATTTTTGAAAAGGTAACACATGAATATGCTATAAAATTTGATTGAGTTTCCCTGCCACCTTTGTATGCTGACTATTTAGTTATATCTTGTATAAACAACTATATCCATCAGGGGGATTTTATTCATATACACAAATATGGATGTATATGGAGCAGTGTGTGTCTGTGTGTGTGTGTATCAAATGACAACACACTCTACACACTGACCTGCATCTTGCTTTTTTCTCTTAATATATCTTAGTGATTATTGCATATCAGTAGACATAAAACTGCCTTTTTTCTTTTTCTTTTAAGATTGTATTTATTTATTTGAGAAAGAGTGTGAGAGAGAGCACAAGAGGGGGAGAGGCAGACTCCTTACTGAGCAGAGAGCCCGATGTGGGGCTCGATCCCAGGACCCTGGGATCATGACCTGAGCCGAAGGCAGATGCTTAATGGACTGAGTCACCCAGCTGCCTCTATCTTTTTCTTTTTAATTGCTGTGGTTTATTTCATTGTATGGATACCCCTTAATTCACTTAACCAGTGATATATTTGGAAAGTGCTTTGTGATTCAGTCTGGAATCTTTTATTTTAATAGGTGAGTTTAGCCCATTTATAGTTATGATGTAACAGATAAGTGCAGTCTTAGTTTTCACTTTAAGAGTCAGTATGGGAGCACCTCGGTGGCTCAGTCAGTTAAGCATCTGCCTTCAGCTCAGGTCATGATCCCGGAGTCCCAGGATCAAGCCCCACATCAGGCTCCCTGCTCAGCAAGGAGTCTGTTTCTCCCTCTCCCTCCTCCTGCTCTCTTTCTCTCAAATAAATAAATACAATCTTAAAAAAATGTCAGTAGGGCTTAGTGGTTAAGAATAAGAAATCTAAATATTTTGCATTCAAGTCAGCTGCAGGTCTGGGTGTGCTTATATCACAGACATTCTAGACATGGAGGAGGAACTAAACAAAAAAATGTTTTCAGGAAAAGACAGAGGTCACAGTCACTAGGTTCTAATCCTGCCTCTAGCAGTTATTGTTTTGTGACCTTGGACAGGTTACTTAACTTCTATGTGCTTTAGTTTCCTCATCTATAAAAAAGAATAATGATGGTATCTATTTCATAGGGTTTTTGTGCTTGAATAGTGTCTGGAACATAGTAAGGAGTATGTAAATATTGGTTATCATTGTTTATAATATTATGCTGTTTTAGTACACCTTTAAAAATATTTTTCTATATAATCTCTGAATTATGTTTAAAATATTGGATATGTTTCCTTTGATAATTTGGAAATTACCTTTTGTAATTATTTGGGTGTATTTTTTTACTTTTTCCTATTTTTTCCTATTTTTTTTTACTATTTGTTACTTTTATAACTATAGAATTATATATATACTTAATCCTTTGTAAAGTAATTATTATGTTTCTATTTCCTTTTCTCTCCCACTCATCTGATTTTCAAAAACATCTTATTTATCTTAGTGTTTACCATGAAACCTATAATTAGGCCTTGTAATTTAAAATTTCAGTTTGAAAATATAATTTTGACCCATTGACAAGGAAATCAGCATACATATACTCTTGTTTGCATCTTTTCGTCTTTCTTCAAAATTTGTTAGTAATGTCATTTGTGCCTTGTTAGGTTTTAAATATTCACTTTCTGTTTTGTGACCATGATGCCCACATTTGTCTAAGACTTAGTGCCTCACTAATGGATTCACTGTTCATATTCAGAATTTTCACTGTCATCTTTTATATGAATGACAGTTTTGTTGGGTATAAATTTCCTGGATCATTATTTCGTTGAAGGTTTTCAGGGCTGTGTTCTAGTAGTTTCTTTCCCTTTAATGGTGGTGACATTATCTGATGAGTATTCACCCACCATTTCTGTTTCCTTCCCCTTTCTTCCTCTTTTCTTATAGTATCTTTGAATAGATCCTGGATTGATTTCTTTTTGATTGTTTCTTATCTTGTAACAAATTAAGCCCTTCTTGGACTAGCTATCTATAGAAGGTTCATTTGGGGGAGAAGCTGTGATCTTGTTCCAGGCTAGCAGGAACCCACCATGGTTCACAATCTTCCTTACAATGCAAGCCTGATTTGTGGGATTGACTTCTGTAATCCTTGCATTTGCTGGTTTGTTCATAATGAGTTATTTTGCCTTCCATTTGGCCTCACCAAGAGATTGCTTCCAGCAGAGGAGTTTCTGTGTGATTATTCAGGCCTCTCTTCCCTGCTGTTCCTTGGTACCATTCAGTTCTAGGGTTGCTTTCACTGACAACCCATGAATCTTGTTCCTATTTTATCGAAGAAGGAGTTTTTTGTTTTTTTGTTTTTTTTTCCTTTTCAGGGTATGTCACCAATTTTGGATTACTCTGCTCTCCCAGCTTTTTAGCCACAGGCCATCTCTTGGTAGCTTCCTAAACTTCTGTTTTGACCTTGACTACATTTGGCAGTCCCACCTCATTTGTTGTGGGTAGGGGTCATAGATCCTGCTTAGTTTCATCAAAGATGGAGCTACATTTTTTTTTTTCTCATTGGTTTTATTGTATTCTTTGAGAGGAGAATAGGGCAGTATGGTCTTTTGATTATAATTGAAAAACAAGAATATTCTTTTAACAATTTATACTGTTCATGAATTTTATTTATATGTTTTTCTTATGCTAAGATTTTAGATTGTGGCTGATTGTGAAATAATTCAATGTTGTAAAAATGATTTTGCATTTTTTTTACAACAGCAACTGAGGCATGAAAATCTGGTGAATCTGTTGGAAGTGTGTAAGAAAAAAAAACGATGGTACCTAGTCTTTGAATTTGTTGACCATACAATTCTTGATGACTTGGAACTCTTTCCCAATGGATTAGACTACCAACTGGTTCAAAAGTATTTGTTTCAGATTATTAATGGAATTGGATTTTGTCACAGTCACAATGTAAGTATTTAGTTTAAATAATCATTTTGCCAATGATTAACTTACCAGATACCATACTTAATGAGACACTTGCCTAGCCTGAAGTTTGGACCAGTCTTCGCTCTTTTACTCTCCTTCACTCGGATTGTCCTTCCATTTCTATATTTATCCAGGTCGCACGTAGTATTGGAGACCTATATTAGAAGGCACCCCTTTCATAAAAATTTTCCATGACCACTCTAGTATTCAGTGATAGCCTTACTCCATTAGTCTTGAAAGTAGTCATTAACAGAACAATTGATTTGGTATTTAGTAATATATATTTCATCCAATATCTTTGATTGTTTAAATGAAATTTCAAGCGTAAGTGTCCTTTCTTGCCTAGCCAGGTCCCAGTTACTTTAAAGCCAGGAACAATTTTATATGCTTTTATTTGTATTCATCATAGGGACAAAAACAGTACCCTGCACATGGCAGGTGCTCAAAAAATAATTTGCCTAACTTGATGTGCCCATATGTGTCATATTCTGTTTTTTTTTTCTTAGATCATACACAGAGATATAAAGCCAGAGAATATATTAGTCTCCCAGTCTGGCGTTGTCAAGTTATGTGATTTTGGATTTGCACGAACATTGGCAGCCCCTGGGGAAGTTTATACTGATTATGTGGCAACCCGATGGTACAGAGCTCCAGAACTATTGGTTGGTGATGTCAAGTATGGCAAGTAAGATATCAACAAGGGGATGGAGGACAGGGAGGGCAGATTTAACACTTTTTTCTTGATAAAATGGAATGTTTCTAATATAATAAAAGATCCCTCTAACACTGAAAGGAAGTTTTGCATTTAGGGAGCTTTATAAGGTAACTTGTTCTTTTTGGTGCTTCTCCTTTAAATGTTTTTTTGTGCAATGAGTTGGGGAAAGCATACTTATTTTAAAGGTAGGGAAATCAAGGTGAGTAAGTGGTCTGTGTTTTACAGTGGGTTGGAAATAGATATGTTTATCACTTGTAAAGAGAGGGAATATTGATTGGATAAGTCTGACACTGTTGGAATGAGGCAAGGTGGAGTTGGCAAAATGGGGGTGGAAACATAATTGAGTGAAATGTTTTTAAAACCTGAATTATCTGCATAAATGAATTCTTCAGAGAAGAAGGGATGGTAACTTCTATTGCTTTGGGTAGAAATCTTTCTAAAATGTTTTCTGTATTTTCTGTGTTTTCAGTGCACACATCATTTAATATTTTCTTGATTACTCTCAGTTCTCATTTTATTGTTACACTGTAAGTTTTGTACCATTTTATTTTATTTTTTTGAAAAATTATTTACTTTAGAGAGGGGGCAGGGGCAGAGGGAGAGTCTTAAGCAGACTTTGTGCAGAGCATGGAGTCTAATGCATGGCTGGATCTCACGACCCTGAGATCATGACCTGAGCCGAAACCAAGAGTTGGATGCCTAACCCACTGCGCCACTTAGGTGCCCCTGTACCATTTTATAATTCAGCTGTGACCTTAAGAAATTTCAAGGTAGGGGCGATTGGGTGGCTCAGTTGGTTAAGCATCTGCTTTCAGCTCAGGTCATGATCCCAGGGTCCTGGGATAGAGCCCCTTGTCGTTGGGCTCTCTGCTCAGCAGAGTCTCCTCCCTCTCCCTCTGCCTGATGCTCCCCCTGCTTGTGCTCTCTCTCTCTGTTAAATAAATAAATAAAATCTTAAAAAAAAGAGAGAGAGAGAAATTTCAAGGTAGTTGTCCCTATGCTAATGACACCAGCACATTAAATTCTTGTGACTGATTTTTAAGACGGTTCTTCTATTTTTTTCCCCTGTTACTATCAGTTCTCCTTGTTGTTACTGAATGTGTCTCCCACAACTTCTAGTATGCTGTTTTCAGTATATGGTGGGATAGACTGATCAACCTTGTTAGAGTTACGTGTAAACAAAGAACAAACAGGCTCTGAATGGAAACCCAAAAGGCTTATTTCTAGAATAAAGTACACATAATAAAGATTTTTGACTTTTCAGAAGCCTTTTCCCTCTTCTGTCACATAATTGAAGTTCCTGGAAATCTGACTTGGGTAAAATTGGGAATTATTACTTGAAGTTTATAGGGAAATGTATTTTTATGGGCAATTTAAAGCTTGCTACTACTACTGTTCTCAATACCCAAAATACCAAGTAGTAATATGCAGAACAGGCTCAGTGACAATCAACATAGTAGGATGCCAGATTTTATACCACATTGCTTTTATTCCAGGGCTGTTGATGTGTGGGCCATTGGTTGTCTGGTGACTGAAATGCTCATGGGGGAACCCCTTTTTCCTGGAGATTCTGATATCGATCAGCTATATCATATTATGATGTGTTTAGGTAAGATTATACATCTGCATTTTAAATTTTAGAGGTTTTTCCATTATGTTTTTGCTCGTATTGGTTTTACAAGTTGTCGGTATGTTAAAGATGGTATATGTTTTTTTTTTTAAGATTTTATTTATTTATTTGAGAGAGATAATGAGATAGAGAGCATGAGAGGGGAGAGGGGCAGAGGGAGAAGCAGACTCCCCACTGAGCAGGGAGCCCGATGCGGGACTCGATCCCGGGACTCCAGGATCATGACCTGAGCCGAAGGCAGTCGCTTAACCAACTGAGCCACCCAGGCACCCAGGATGGTATGTGTTTTAAGTGGCAGTAGGGAGCAAATAGGAAAATCTCATCTATCTATCTATATTAATTTATTCTCAGTCTGGCTTTGGTTTGTCTGACATATGGTCTTATTCATGCTCTCATCCACCCTCCTGTCACACTCCCCACAAAGAAAAGAGCGAAGACTGTAAATTTTTTCTGTACTTTTGCACTCAGTAAATCACATGTAGAGGATGCAAACGATGATTTATTTTCTTTGGGTTAGCGTTTGGTGTAATATGACTATTACCCTCATCCTTCAAACTGAGAGACACAGCGACTTCCTAGGTAGTTTAGTCTTAGTGCTTTGGACAGAATTTTAAAGCTAGACTATCAAAGCCTTCTTACATTTGTTGAAATGTCAATGTCATGTTCATAGATGGGACTTGGAAAATGGAAGTAAAGGGAAAATACTTGAGTTACTTAACTATTGGATTTTAAGTTTCCAGGGTAAAAATTCAATAAACAATTCAATGGGTTCTTACAGTAGAATTTTCATATTTTATACTAGATTAGGTACTAAAATTGAAGAAAAAGATAAAAGCGCTCAAATCAGACCTTAGACACAGGTACAAAATCAGTAGATTTAAAAATTTTTTAAACAATTTTAATTTAAAAACATTAAAACAATTTAATCTTAATTTTAGAATTAAATTCTTAAAGGGTGGAACTGATTTATCTAGATTAGATTCTGATCATATGACTAATGATATTTTCATTGTCTTGGACAGCACTTTATGCTTTGTTGTTAGAAATGAAGTGTTGGTACTCATATCTAAAAAATTATAAAATGTTCTTTACTTGTCCTTTATCTCTGCTCCCTCATGATTTCAGTTCTATATATAGTGGCTTGTGAATTTTCTAAATGAGTAGGTTGAGATAAGAATGTTAATTTTCTTGAGTTAAATTGCATTAACACCACTATGAAGATTGCCGGGTGCCACCACCATAAGAACACTGTTTTGGTTGATTTTGCATGCTGAGAGAGCTCCAAGTCCATAAGTAGTATTCCACTCTTTTGTCCACTCCACTTTACCCGTTTCTTTGCTCTTTCTATCATGATGTATAATGACAGAGATATGTGCTATTCTCACTTCCAGGTAATCTAATTCCAAGACATCAGGAGCTGTTTTATAAAAATCCTGTGTTTGCCGGAGTAAGGTTGCCAGAAATCAAGGAAACAGAACCTCTTGAAAGACGCTATCCCAAGCTCTCTGAAGTTGTGATAGATTTAGCAAAGGTAATCATACTGTTTACTTTCTTATGGTGAATTTATATTATAGAGACTTGGTTTTCTCTTTTTCTTGTCTAGTTGATCTTGTAGGTCAACAATTTCAATATTAATTAAATTAAATTAAATTAATTAATTTTAAGTAAACTCTACCCCTGACATGGGGCTCAAACTCACGACCCTGAGATCGAGTCGATGCTCTACCGACTGAACCAGCCAGGAAGTCCCCCCCGCCCCACCTTTTTTTTGGCCGGTGGATTCTAAGCCCAACTTGGAGCTTAAACTCACAACCTGCAGATCAAGAGTTGCATGCTCCCAGGCACCCTTCTGTTTATTTTAAATTTTTTTTAAAGGTTTTATTTATTTATTTGAGAGAGAGCACAAGCAGGGGTAGAGGCAGAGGGAGAGGGAAAAGCAGGCTCCCTGGGAGCCTGATGTAAGACTCTGATCCCAGGACCCTGCGATCATGACCTGAGCCGAAGGCTTAATTGACTGAGCCACCCAGGCGCCCCTGATTTTAATTTTTGTACATAAAGAGTTTAAATAATTTGGCAGAGGGATCTTCAGAGAGAAAGGCCTGAAAAATTTACTTGTTTTAAGAAACCATTTACTGTTGTTATCTAGCATGTTTTAAGTGTGAAAACATCCTCACAACAATATGTTTAACACTTAAGATGTAAGCCTATGCAAGTGGAAAAGAGAAGAAAAGTAGGATAAGGAAATAAAAAGAAAGGTAAAGAAGTAGCAAAATATTAAAATATAGGGCATAAGATCGTGACCTGTACTATCTTGTTAAAGAGGCTTTTGCTTAGCCGCTGGATTCACTAAGTGAACTTAGAAATAAAAGATCATCACCTTTGCCTTGTCTTCGAGGAAGATATTAAGGAAATTCTTACTGGACCTTTGGAATTGTAATCATGGAACACTACATCAAAAACTAATGGTGTAGAGCGCCTGGGTGGCTCAGTTGGTTAAGTGACTGCCTTCAGCTCAGGTCATGATCCTGGAGTCCCGGGATCGAGTCCCGCATCGGGCTCCCTGCTCAGCGGGGAGTCTGCTTCTCCCTCTGACCCTCTTCCCTCTAGTGCTTTCTATCTCTCATTCTCTCTCTCTCTTAAATAAATAAATAAAATCTTAAAAAAAAAACTAATGGTGTAATGTATGGTGAATAACATAACATAATAAAATAAAAAAATTCTTATTAATTTGGACTCTCTTGAAGCATTGATAAAATAAGTACAGTATATCTGAAACACCAGGATCATGTGACATTTTTGCAAGATGTTTTTTGCTTTTTAAAATTTTTAAACGAGTTGTTAAAAAAAGTTTAGTAAGCTTATGAAAAATTATAACAAGTTCTTAGAAGAATATATGTCTACTTTTCTACATAATCTTCTAACAGATTCAAATATTTTTTATTGAGACCAGCTTTATGATGTCGATAGAGATTTAAAAGGAATTAAGGTAAAACTATTATCCAATTTATGTCCCTTATAACAGAATTATGTAACTTTTAAACATTTTATAATGGAAAATTTCAAATATAGAAAAGAAAGAATATAGTAGTATAATGAACCCTGTGTACTTAGCAGCTAGCTACAGCAATTAACAACCTTTTGACAATCATTTACCTATCTTCACCCTCCTCAACTTTGTTTTCTGTAGCATTTTGAACCAAATCCCAGATACTATATTATTTCACTTATAAATACCTTAATTATTTGTATTTTCTTGTTCACTTAAAGCTATTTATTGAGTTCCTTCTATTTTTATTGGCATTGGGTGGTTCCAATAAATCAGAACAAGACCTGCATTAAAATAAAATAATCAGTGTAAAGTATCCAGCACAGTAATATACACAGAATAGGCCCTTTCCCTTCCATTCTGCAAGGGCTTTAAATTTCAAATATTTACAATAATTCCCTAATATTATAAAACTTCTAGCCAATGCTCAAAGTTTCATTGATTTTCTCATAATTTCTTTTTATACTTTGAATTAGGATCTACATGACATCTGTAGATCATAATTGGTTGATATATCTTAATCTACAAGCTCATACTCATCTCTTTCTTTTTTGTTTAAACCTTGCCATTTATTTGATAAAAAAAATAGGTGGTTTGACTCTTAGAACTTTCCACATAGTATAGCTTTTTATGTTCCTCCCTGTCCTGTATTTCTTATAAACGCATAATAGAACTAGAGCTTGATCTGAATCAGGTTGATTTTTGGCAAGACTGCATCTGGTGGTCTTTCTTTTTGTGGTATTAGCAACCATTGGTGGTCATGGTCTAGATTTGTTCTTTATTCTTTATCATTTATTATGTGCTTTTAAAATTCATTGACTATAAAGAGCAATTTTCTATTTTTCTTTTTTCTTTCAAAGATTTTATTTATTTATTTGAGAGAGAGAGAAAGAGACAGCATGAGCAGGGGGGAGGGGGGAGGGGCAGAGGAAGAAGCCGACTCCATGCTAAGCAGGGAGCCTGATGCAGGACTCGATCCCAGGACCCTGGGATCATGACCTGAGCCGAAGGCAGATGCTTAACTGACTGAGCCACCCAGGCACCTCAATTTTCTATATTTAGAAATCTAAATGTAGGCAGTTTTTCATTGATATGAGCTGTGTATATTCCTTGGTTTTCCAGAAATGCTTACATATTGACCCAGACAAAAGACCCTTCTGTGCTGAGCTCCTCCATCATGATTTCTTTCATATGGATGGATTTGCTGAGAGGTATAGTACTGACTCATGTTTTCTGGGGCACCCCAACCTAGAGTTAAAGTAAAGGTATTCTCTTATTTCTCTATCCACCTGCTTTTATAGGATATCAACTATTTACAACCCTACCTCTATTCACCCTTAGCAATTATGCAGTTCCTAGAAGTGGCCCCCTGAATTCACTAAATTAGCGATCTTGGTTTTCACGAAGCAGTCACTTTGTGCTTTTCTTTCTGTTTCCCACTGGTGACATCTACCCCTCAGGTCACTGATTTGTATGTTGCTGCCAGCTGTGAGATGCCATCATCTTGGGTACTGATGCATTTGCAAAGGTGCCGTCTCCCGTTGCCCCTGACCTCACACCACAGCCAGTCCTACGACGCTGTTGCCACTGCTGTGCTGAGACCTTGCTGGGCCCAACCTGGGTGCGCCAGAGCTGCTGGTGTGGGCTGTTGTGCTGCCCCAGCTGCTGGCATCCGTGCAGCTCACCAAACCAAAAATAGTGAGATGAGAGGCAATGACAGTGCTTTATATTTTGGCAACTTGATTTAATCTTTAGCTTAATAAAAGATACCCCGGCTCTCATATTTGCATTTGCATTCAATTAGTTGTGATATGTTGTTTTGATGGAGATGTATGAAGAAACTTTGGCCTCACACAAATATATAGTTGCAAAATGGAAGAGTATTTTAATAGCCCTTTTAGATAATTGTGAGTATTCTTTATCAATTCCATACCCAAAACTGTGATACTATACCAAAACTTGACAGTGGTAGTTTCTTAAAGGCGGGTTGCGTTGTGGAATCTGAAACATATCAGTGAACTTTTCTTACCCTGTTACATTAAAAACCATTTGTCTAACTTACACTTTTTTTTTAAGATTTTATTTATTTATTTGACAGATTAGAGACACAGCGAGAGAGGGAACACAAGCAGGGGGAGTGGGAGAGGGAGAAGCAGGCTTCCCGGTGAGCAGGGAGCCTGACGCGGGGCTCGATCCCAGGACCCTGGGATCATGACCTGAGCCGAAGGCAGACGCTTAATGACTGAGCCACCCAGGTGCCCCTCTAACCCCTCTAACATGCACTTTGAATAGATCTTTTACCCATGCATGCTTTTGTAACATCATTATGAGTCATTTGGAAAATATTGTTTTGTTAAATAATGTAGATCTTTAAAATGATAACATATTTCATTATATGGTATCAAAAAGCCACATTCTCTGTCATCAGAAAAGTCTTTTTAAGTATTGGGAATCTGTTAAGGTCACAGTAGTGGACGCAAGTTTAACAGAATTCTAATTTTGCATAAAAATTGGAATTTTATTATTAACACAAATATTATCTGTTGATTTCCCTTCTTCATTAAAAAAAAAAATGTCTGCAGAATACCCCAAGTCTGAATAACTGTAGTAGTTTTCTGTCAGTCTTTCTTTTAAGTAAAAATATTCCATGAAAAAAGTGGCTAGTATAGTTTGTATTTCAAATACACAGTTCCTTTTTCTTTTTTTTATTTTTAAAGATTTAATTTATTTGAGGGAGAGAGTGCAGGAGCAGGGGGGAGGGGCAGAGGGAGAGGGAGAAGCAGACTCCCTGATGAGCAGGGAGCCCAATGCTGGGCTCGAACACAGGACCTTGAGGTCATGACCTGAGTCAAAGATCAGCCTGCTTAACCAACTGAGCCACCTAGGTGCCCCCATAGTCTAGTTTAATATTCAATTTTTTAAAAGATTTTATTTATTTATTTGAGAGAGAGAGGGTGAGTGAGAGAGAGAGAGAGAGAAGGAGCAGGGGGAGGGGCAGAGGGACAGGGAGAAGCAGACTCCCCGCTGAGCAGGGAGCCAGACATGGGGCTGGGACTCCAGGATCATGACCTGAGCCGAAGGCAGATGTTTAACCGACTGAGCCACCCAGGCGCCCCTTAATACTCAATTTTTAAAAATAAATGCGTTGAAAATGAAATTTTTTCTAGATTTATCTGTTTTATACAATTTTATTGAATTGGCAAATGTATTTTTATGTAGATTTTCTCAGGAACTACAGTTAAAAGTACAGAAAGATGCCAGAAATATTTCTTTATCTAAAAAATCCCAAAACAGAAAGAAGGCAAAGGAAAAAGATGATTCCTTATGTGAAGAGAGAAAAACACTTGTGGTACAGGTAATGACCATGTCTTAACGTGTATTAATTTTTTTTTAAAGATTCTTTATTTATTTATTTGAGAGAGAGAGAAAGAGAAAGAGCACAAGGGCGGGGGTTGGAAGGGGCAGAGAGAGAAGCAGACTCCCTACTGAGCAAGGAGCCTGACACAGGACTCCATATCAGGACCCCAGGATCATGACCTGAGCCAAAGGCAGACATTTAACCAACTGATCCTCCCAGGTGCTCCACTGTATATTCAGTTTTAGATTTAGTTTATCCTTAAAGTTTTGGAGTTAAAAAATGAAGATGAAAAAAGGTTTTCTGAGTGGTGAACACGTTAACTTTTAGATTAGTTGTAAAAATGTTATCTTCTCTTTAGACATTCCCTTTTAAAAAACTGTCTTAACGTATCAGGTATTGAGTGCCTACTGTGTATCAGACTGTGCAATAGGTCTTGTCAGGAAATCATATTCATCTAAGAACATTTAGATACTTGTACTCACATGTAAACACATGGACACAAACACAGGCACATACCATTTTTTTCCTTAAGTGATAGAGAAAAATAACATTTTAAAAATTTTGTGTAGAGCATTTTAAAATTGATATTTAAATTATTTGAAGTTTACTTTTGCAGGTAGGTTATCCAGAATCTGTTCTTGGTGAGGTAATTCAAGTCCACTGCCAACCCACTCCCAGTTTCTCAAGTGAACTGAAAGAAGAAGGAGTTCTCAATTTTATATTTCAATTTTGTACTTTAGATATATAAGAACAAAAGTGGGCATACTTCGTTCCTCTTTCACATTTTTTCCTACTGAAATATATATGTAAATTTGCTATATGTATGTATCATATTAATCTGATGCTAGTATGAATTGCATTTCTTTCTTTTAGAGATTTTTTATTTTTAAGTAATTTCTGCACCCACTGTGGGGCTTGAATTTACAATCCTGAGATCAAGAGTTGTATGCTCTACTGGCTGAGCTGGCCGAGTGCCCCGTGAATTGCATTTTTATTCAAAATACATGTCTGACCAAGAATCCTGGGTTTAATTTTAATTCTGTAGATAGAATAAAGAAAACAGGAGCACAGTAAGGTGATATTTATGGAATTTTGCTTTGGTTGACAAATTCTTTATAGGAAGAGGTGATTTTTCATTCTCCTCAGATCATTAATGTTATTAACTTTTTTTTTTAGCAAAAGCAATATATTTTGTTTATTGCAGTGTATTTGACATACTGTTATTAACATTTTTATTAATGGTCAGGATACCAATGCTGATCCCAAAATTAAGGATTCTAAAGTATTTAAAATAAAAGGGACAAAAATGGATGGAGAAAAAGTTGAAAAAGTCAGTCGAGCTTCAAATACGAGCTGTCTCCCTGACAATGGGATGAGCCACCTCAGAACAGTGCCTCCTACCAGCCTCCGAGATTGCAGAGATGGCAGTGTGGACCACACTAGAAGTCCGGGCGTGGCAATCCCTCCCCTTGTGCACAACCTTGCTGGGGTGGCTTCCAGCATTAATTCTGGAATGGTGACTATCCCAGCAGTGCAGAGTTACAGGTATGAATTAGGAAAATAAGAACAAAGTGTTGTTTAAAGGGTATGTTTGCAAATTGCAAGTGTTTGTCAATTCAGCTATATTATGTTGCTTTTAGGCTTCTGGGTGCTCTTCATTCTTGTCAGGGTTCTGTTTCAAAAGTCTTTTGGCCTACGTGATGAAAATTACTAGCATCTGATTAAAAAAAATCACCTGAGTCTTAAGAAAGAAGGATTGTGTATTGTTTAAGGTGAAGAAGCTTTAAACTATTTAGTCTAAAAACATGAAAGGAGGTTATCATAATAAAAGCAGTAATTGGTTTTAAGGGTCTGCTGCTACATGGTATGGCTGTGGGCATTTGGTGGTCCAAAGAAGCTCATTTTGGAAATTTTGCTGGAAGGAAAGTAATTTATTTGGTTGGAGTTGGGGGCTAGGTGGGAGGCATGAGGGTAGTGGCAAAGGACAGAATGTTTCACCAGATCTATGTTCATTGTGTATTTAAGAACAGGCATTAAATGCTGATTAAACTGTAGGTCGCTTGGTTTTGTGTCATTTGGTTTTGGTTTTGTGCTTGAAAAATAATTACCGCTGGTTCTAACTTAAATTTTTTGTTGTTACAGAGTGGATGAGAAAGCCAAGAAGTATTGTATTCCATTTGTTAAACCAAATAAACATTCTCCATCAGGCATTTATAATATTAATGTGACCACATCAGTAAGTGAACTATTCCCAGTGGTAGAAGAGTAAGCATTAGTCATTTCTAGACTTCTACTCATTTTAAATATAATAGTGAAGAGCTGAGTCTTTTATTTGGAGACATATCATAAAGTGGAAACTTAATTATATGTATATCATCCCACCCTGTCATAATCAAAAATGTGAAAGTCTTAAAAGTTTAAGTAAGTTTTGCAAAGTCTAGAAGTTTAAATATAAGATATTATTTAAATGACATCTGCTTTAATTTTTTTGGTAAGTATTGTCTTAATACTTGGTGATAGGTTCTTTTTAGAGTAGGTGACAAGATAAATTGTACCCCACTCATGCCAGATTTTTGGTGAAAGTATTCTATTTATTCATTTACAAAAATTTATTATGTATTATATATGAGACACTGGAGATGGATAAATCAAATCCCTCTCTTCAAGGAGCTCATGGTCTAGTATAGGATCACCAGATTCAAACAGTGTCAGATTATAATAATGGAATCATGTACAAGGTTCAGAAGTCTTCTGAAGATTCAGAGGAGTGTTATTATGCTCAACATAGCTGCCAGAATGCTTCTTTTTAAAGTTAACTTAAATCATCATTATTCTTCCACTCAAAACCCTCCATTGTCTTGTCATCTCTGAATAAAGACCAAAGTCCTTAACAGGGCCTGTAAATCCCTGATTGACTTCTCATCCCTTTACTCCATTCCGGCTACTCTCATTCTTGATCAGTCTATTCCAACCCACTGATTTCCTTGTATTCCTTGGACGTGACCAGACATGCTCCTACATTTGGGCCTTTGCGCTTGTTATTTCCTCTGCTTTAGAACATTCTTTCCCCAGATAATCCAAAGAATTTGCTTTTTCTCCTCCTTGGCTTACATTGAAGCCTTCTTGTGAGGTCCTCCCTCCTATTCGAACTCATTTTGTCTCCCATTACTCTCTATCCTCTCTCCTTGCTTAATTTTTTTCCATTGCATACACCTAACAGCCTCTATATTCACTTATTTATATATTGCCTGTCTCTTCCAACTAGAATGTAAGTTTCTGAGGCAGGAATATGTGTTTTGTTTGTTTGTTTCCTTCCTTACAGCTCTATCCTATACTTAATACAGTGTCTAGCACATAGAAGATGCTTGCGGAATGTGGTGAATTAATTCTTCTGCCAGGGAATGGAAGGTGTGGATCTGTTCCCAAAGGAGTATTTTTCTCCCAGATTTCCCTCTTCTATCCTTCTCATTATCCTCAGTCTGAAAAATATAGCCTTCTTTTCATATCGCTCATGATTTGGGCATTACATTTGTTTTTCTTTTTATTATTCTTGGCCCACAATTTCTATAACCATAGTACTTCCCTTTCCTTCCACACCCTACTGATTTCTCTGTAGATATTTTTGTGTTTTACATTCTTGGCCTGCTTTGGAAGATTACTTTGATCAGCAAGGCTTTTCAGAGTAGCTGGCTCAATACCACGTTGCTGGAATTGATATCGGCCTTCTTTCAGGCATTGCATAATCAAGGCTGGCTGTTAATTTTCGATCTTATTTCTGTTTATCCTTGTTTTTAAGAGGCAGTCAAGAGAGGAGGTAGAGATTAGTGGGGAGAAGACACCCTTGAGTCTCTTGATGAAAATTAACGGAGGCAGAGTTAAGCCTAAACTTTCTTCAACATCTGGGTTGAAGGCCAATACCCCTCTCCCCTGCCTCATGCTCTAATTCTGAGATGTGAATAATGTATTATTATAAACATCTCTTATATACTTTATTTGTCACTCTTTGAATATGTAAATCTAGTAGTTTGAACTCATTATTTTTTTTGTACTTACAGATAGTTCTTTTGAACTAATTATTTTATAACTGATTTGAACCAAGAGCCTTAACACTTACTCTATTCAGAGAACAAGAAGAAACATCCAAATAAAGAAACTCAAAAGCTCATTGCAGGACTTCTGAAGTTTTGTGTTATTCTTAAATTCCTAAAGTTTAGGATATCAATATATTAGTTAAAAAATGGGCAGGCCAAGCTTACCTGGAAGCTAATTCACTTGTGTTAATCATTCTGATATTAGGTGACTAGTGAAAAGAGCCTACTTCAGGCAAATAAGAAAAGAAGGGAATACTCTAAGACAGATGTCCGTTTGCCTGAACTAAACTATAATCATCTCCCTGAACTAAGAGCCTTGGAAGGCATAGGTATGTTTATAATGCTTTTATTTTCAGCCTTTTTGTATATATTATTGAAAATGTATGTTAAACTAACAAAATACTAAATATAAAAATTAGAGTAACTTTACATATTTATGTAAATATGTACAGATGTATGTAAGTAAATATGTACACTGAGTACACACTGAGGGACAGATTCAAAATGTGGAAAAGCTAAAAAAAATGTCTAATTTTTTCACTGTGTTTATGGTTGTTTTTATTTAGCTCGAAATTCCAGGTTAATAAGGAAAGAGAACAAAAATCTTTCAGAATCTCGAATTCCTTCTCTGGCCACTATTGACTTGCACACGCCCAGTATCGCATTACATCAGGTACAGAAATCCTCTCTTGGTTGGATAGAACTTGGGTCTCATAATTCCTTATTAAACTAGCTTAGGGAAAGTTTGCTTTTAAGCATTGGGCATGTTTACTGGTAGGATCTATACCATTTTGTTTGTTAAATTTTTTCTTACTGTTCACTGCCCTCAGTACCTTTATTACATATATATTTATATAGACATTTTCCAGCTTACAGTCATCACTTTTTTATAGATTAAAAATGCATATGTGTGTGTGTGTATACAGCTTAACTATGGCTTTTATATAACATTTGTGGTAATTTATAGTATCTCACTGCTTTAACCCCAATGTTATAACCCATATTTCATTCCTTGAATTGTTTTTATTCTTTTAAAATGTATCATCTATTTGACATTTTCCCCCAAGACAATCCACTCCACGCATGTTAAAGACTGGTTCTTCCATATATAATTATTTTTCTGTAATTTCTCTTAGTTCTTCAGAATACTTATGTTTCTGCTTCTTCAACAACAGTCATATCACTCATTTTCACATTAAGAAAACAGGCAAATTTTAAATTTCCTGAGCCAACCATAACTAGTTATAAACTTTGGATATGTATCATTGTACTTACAGATTTCTCACCTCTCCTTGATGCTGGACAACTTTTGTTTTGGAATTTAATTCTGCATCCTCATTATTGAAGCATTTCTGTTCCCTAGAAAGCACCTGTATGTTGCCTCTGTCTCTATGTGGATGTTTTTTTCTACCACTACTCCTTAAATAATTTTGTAGAGCTCTACAAACAAGGGGAATACTATTGTTGAGGGTAACAAATTACAGAGACAGTTACCCAGCGATACTGAGAAACAGGTTTATTGACTGCTATTACTTTGCCTTATCTTCTGCTAACAATTTCTGCAGCAACATAATCAAAACTAAACAAATTCCTGTTGTGTGAGGATTAATTACCATCACACACTATTTTACTTTTAGGAACTATAGAGTTTCAATAAATTCCTTATATACTTCTAAACTTAAATTTAATGTGGATTTTAAAGGTGCAGAATTTTTCACTTGCTCTCTGTAAGTGTCCTATTGTTCAAAACCACTTTTCAGGGGTCACATAACCAAATCTAGTTTCATGAAATGGAAGAAAGGCTTTGGCGGCCTTCATATTTCAAATTTTTATTTGTTCCTTTGAACTAATCCTCTTATATTTATAAACTGGTCTGCATTTTTATTCTTAGTTTACTTGTTCATTTCCCAGTTGTATTTAAATACACTAAAGGAGAAAGTAAGTGTAGTGAAAAACACAAATTAATACCAAAATAAGATGAATGTGTGTGTGGAAAATCTGAATGAGAAGAAAAACAACAGGAGACTGAAAGCAAGAGTCTTTCTGGCAGAAGCTGTGACTTGCCTTGCACTTTTCATGGTATGGATCCATACGTTGAACTCCATTTTGTTTCTGTGCCTAACACAAACATTTTCATATTTATAAAAGCCTATTTTTATAGATTTGTGGAGCATCTGTAAGATAGATTTTTGTAAGTAAAGTATGGCATAATCCATGGAATCTATCTCCACTCGCCCACTTCCTATACACTTACACCCGTTATGTACTTTTCTATGTGCGTAGCTACATGTTTTTTTCTCTAAGCAGTGGTGAAGCTTCATCCCACAAATTTTGATATGTTGCATTTTCATTATACTCAGTCCAAACATTTTCTTAGTTCCCTTGTAATTTCTTGTTTAACCCAGGAATTATTTAATAGTTTATTTTTTTTATTTTTTTATTTTTTTTAAAGATTTATTTATTCATTTTGAGAGAGTGAGAATGAGAGAGAGAGAGAGAGCACATGAGAACGGGGAGGGTTAGAGGGAGAAGCAGGCCCCCTGCCGAGCAGGGAGCCCGATGCGGGACTCGATCCCGGGACTCCAGGACCATGACCTGAGCCGAAGGCAGTCGCTCAACCAACTGAGCCACCCAGGCGCCCCTAACCCAGGAATTATTTAGAAATGTGTTGTCTTATAGTTAGATATTTGTGGTTTCCCTAGTATTTTATTATTCTTGATTTGTAATTTAATTCCATGTGGTCAGGGAATATACTGTGTATGATTTTGATTGTTTTTGATTCATTGAGATATGTTTTATGGCCCAGCATATGGCCTCTCTTGGTGAATGAACCTGTTCCCTTGAAAATAATGTTTATATTCTTCAGTTGTCGGACATAGCCTTCTATAAATGTGAAATTAGATTAAGGTGGCTGATAGCGTTCTTCAGATCTCCTGTGTCCTTAATGATTTTTTTGTTTGTCTGGTCCTATCAGTTCCTGAAAGAGTACTGTCAAAATCTTTTACTGACTGTGGAATTACTTATTTTTCTCTTATATACTGTTTATTTTTGTTTCATGTATTTTATATGTATTAGGTACATATACACTTATAATTGTTTTTGTCTTCCTGATACGCTGTTCCTTCTATCATTATGAAATGTCTCTCTTTATCTCTTGTGGTGCTCTGTGCCATGAAGTCAATTTTATCTGAGATTAGGATAACCACTCCAGCCTACTTATACTTATTTGTTTCCATTGTATATCTTTTTACTTTCATACAATCTGTTTTTAAAATTTACAGTGTTTCCTATAAGTAGGGTCTTTCTTTTGTATCCATTCTGTCAGTTCAGTTCTTTTAACTGAAATGTGTATTGGTGTTCTCTTGCTGCTAATATACTACTACCAACTTAAAATACTTACTATCTCACAGTTTCCGTGGGTCAGAAGCCCGGACATAGCTGCTGCTCTCCTTGAGTCTCACAGGTCGAAATTAAGATGTCAGCAGGGCTGCATTTCTTTCTGGAGGCTCTAGGGGAGAATCTATTTCCAGGCCCCCTAAGGTTGGTGGCAGAATTTAGTTCCATGAGGTTGTGGGACTGAGGTCCCTGTTTCTTTGCTGGCTGACCCTTGGGGGTTGTTGTCAGCTTCTAGAGACTACCCACATTCCTTGCCTTGTGGCCTACTTCTCCATCTACAGAGCTAGCAGTAGTGGTCAGTCCTTCTTACTCTTTGATCCTCTCTTGCTTCCCTTTCTGTCTCATCTCTGACTTACTCTTCTGCTTTTAAGAGTGCCCGTGATTGGCTTGCCAGGCCTATCCTGGGCCTGCCAGGATAATCTTTCTATCTGAGGGTCAGCTTATTAGTAACATTAATTCCTTGTGCAAAGCTGCTTCATAGCAGGAGCTAAATTAGTTTGATTGACTAAGCAGGGGCAGAAATCTTAGGCGGATAGCTTCAGAATTCTGCCTGCTAGTGAATACTTAGGCCATTAACATTTAATGTGATTATTGATATATCTGGATCTAAGTCTATAAATTATACAGATATAAAGATCTATATAGATGTAATAGATATAATATATATCTTATATAGATATAAGATCTAGCTCTTTAATATTATTTGTTTTTTGTTTGTTCCCTTGTTTTCCCTTTCCAGTCTTCTTTTGTATTTGAGTATTTTTAGTATTGGCTTTTGGGGATATTTCTTGGTATGATTTTTTTTAGTGATTGCTTTAGGTTTTGCAATGTACATAACTAATCTTTCACAGTGTACTTAGAGTAAATATTGTACCACTTATAAAATGTAGAAAACTTGCAAACATATTTCCTTTTACTTCAACCTGGACTTTATGTTAGAATTATATGTCTTTTATTTACATACATTGAAAACTGTACTAGGTCATACATTTTGCTCTAAACAGTCATAAATATTTTAAGCAATTTAGGGAGAAAAGTAGTCTTCTATATTTACCTAACCACTTACCGTTTCTGTTGTTCTTACCTTCTTTCTTAAAGATTACAGTTCTGTTTTCTGGTATCATTTTTCTTCAGCTTGAAAAACTTTCTTTAGCATTCCTTCCAGAGCAGGTCTGATGAGTGACAAACTCTTTTAGTTTTACTTCATTTGATAATAACTTTATTTTGCCTTCATTCCTTAAATATATTTTCACTGGATAAAGAATTTGAGTTGGTAGGTTGCTTTTTAAAAATTTTTCTTCCAGGACTATAAGACATCATTCCTTTATCTTATGATCTCTCTGATTTCTGGTGGGACATTTTAGGCATTTGAATTTTTCGCCTGTATGAAATGTTTCATTTTTCTCTAGCTGCTTTCAAGATTTTATCTTTATCTTTTTGTGTTCATTAGCTTGGATATGATGCATCTAAGCATAGTTTTTGTTGAATGTATACTGTTTGGCATTTGCTGAGCTTCTTGATTTATAAACTTACCTCTTTTACCAAATTTGGGAAGTTTTTGGTCATTATTTCTTCAATATGTTTTTGTGCCGTAATCTGTCTCTCTCTTTTTTTTCTGAGAGTCCAATGACATAGATATGAGACCTTTTGGTATTTTCTACAGGTTCCTGAGACTCTGCTTTCCTTCACCTTTTTTTTTTTTTTTAAATCTCTGCTGTTCAGACTGGGTAGTTTCTATTGATTTATCTTCAAGTTCTTTGACTCTTCACATTCTGCTATTTAAGCCCATCCAGAGAGGTTTTAAAATTTCAGATACTGTATTTTTAAGTCCTAAAAGTCTACTTGGTTCTTTTTTAGGGCTTCTATTTCTCTGCTAGGAATTCCTGTTTCTTCATTCATTTCAAGTTTGTTTTCCTTTACCTCATGTAAAATAGTTATATTACTTCTTTAAAGTCTCTCTCTCTCTCTCTCCCTATCTATCTGTATAACTTATCTAAGTTTATAAAGTCCCAACATCTGGGCCATTTCAGGATTGGTATCTGTTGATTGCCTTTTCCCTTGAGAACTGATCACACATTCCTGGATCTTTTTTTTTTTTTTTAAGATTTTATTTATTTATTTGACAGAGAGAGAGAGAAAGCACAAGCAGGGGGAGCGGCAGGCTGAGGGAGAGGGAGAAGCAGGCTCCTGGCTTAGCAGGGAGCCTGACAAGTGGCTTGATCCCCGAGCCCTGGGATCATGACCTGAGCCGAGGGCAGACGCTTAACCGACTGAGCTACTTAGGTGCCCTGCTGGATCTTTTTATGGCCAATAATTTTGATTGTATCTTGGAGACCGTGAATGTTATGTTGTGTAGTCTCTGGGTCCTAAAATTTATAATGATAAATTATAATCATTTATAATCCTCTGGAGAATATTGAAATTTTTGTTTTAGCAGGCAGTCATCCAAGTTTTGTTCACACTATAAATTCTGCCTTATGTCCTGTGAGAACTGTTTCAAACCTCAGTTCTCTAAGTGTTTGATATCCTAGTTTGCATCTGTCCTGTGCTTATGTGGCTCCGGGGTTAGCTAGAGACTTGTGCAGGTAATTCAAATCTCAGTTCAGTCCTCCCAGGCCTTTGCTGTGCTGGTGGAGCCATCCCATGCATGCATGCTTCAGGAACTGGGCTGAGACTCCTGTGGGTCTATACACAGAATTAGAGGGTCCCCTCCTCTAATTCTCTTCCCTCCAGGACCATCCCTCTCCGCCCCCCCCATACTTCCTGGCTTGCAGGGACACTTTTTCCTGGTTTCTCTGGGATAATAAGGGAGTTTCTTTCAGAATTCTGGCCTCTTATACTTCTTCCTTACTCTGAGACTAGGGCCTGCCTTTTGGGCAAAGGCACAGAAGTGAAAAACAAACAAAATTGGAAACTGACCCCCATGTGAAGGATCACATTGCCAACTTTTGACTCCTGTCCTTAATCTTAAGTTGTTTTTTATATTTTTCTTAAAGGGTTTTATTTGGTAAGTAGGAGAGACGGGTTGTAGTGGGTCTGTACTACCTCGGCACATCAGAAGTATCTTGTAACATATGTGTCAACAAAGAGGTCAAAGAATAACATCTCTTTACTTCATCATCCTCTTCTGTGCCAACAACTTGAGCTATGAATAGTTAATTCTAAACATCTGGTATTTGAACAAGAATTTGGATTTGGGGAGGAGTGGGACTTTCACAATTATTGAGAATCTGTAATGCTTGATTATTAACTTATAGGTATCAGGATCTCCCCTGTCAGATGATTCGGAGGCTGATTTACCTCGAATGGAACACCAGCACTGAGAGTCATTTTGGTTCTGAACTGGGTATGTCTGGTTTCTCATACTTAAAGCAAAGTAACCCTCCATGGAAATATTTTATAGCTTGCTGAAGTTCAAATTCTGCAGCTAAAGCATTCTCCAGTGATTGATTCCATGAGAACTCCTGATAGAGAAAGAGATGTGCCACTTAAAGAAACCAGAAGTGGCATCTGTCTCTGGGATGAAATCCCTTTTCATAGAGCTTGCCTCTCTTGCTCTTAAACTAATCTCCTGTATTTTATTGGCTACAGTAGTGTGAATTTACACGGTGACAAGTGCTGTGGAAGGATATATACTTATCTCCATTATCAGTCGTTTGTCCCTTTGGGCTTTTAAAGCAAGAAAGACAAAATGATTGCTTGGTAATCTTTTTCCCAATAAAGAAGGATCAGCACTATACTAGATGATTGCCTTCCTTTTATTTATTTTTATTTTTTTGCTTCTAATGGACTTTATCACTGTCCTGCTCCAATACCACAGTAAAAAGGGCCCTGCAAGCTCCAGGCCTGTACCATGTGTCACCACAGTGAAAATAGGGCCCACTGGAACACTTTCCCACCCCACTGTGGACCTACTCACAGGATAAACACATGTCACACTTTTTTTTTTTAAAAGAAAACAGAATAAATTAATAACTTAAGTGACTAGGCACCAACAGTGATTTGAAAAATTAAATGTCAATTTTAAATGTAAGAGGATTGCCTTCCTTTTAAGTATAACTGTTTAGTACTAAAAAACCGAAAAACAAAAATCAGACCTTTTGAGTGGTAATTTACTATGTGACAAGTCATCCAATGTTTAGTATCTTATTAATTCTGTAAAATGTGACGATAATAAAATCCCACATTCTCATAAATGTGTTGTTGGAATTAATCTGTTCACCTCCACAAAGCCTTCTGAACGCCTGTGACATCATATGTGAATTTACTGTGAAGTGAACAAGCCTTAAGTTTCAGTTCCTCACTGGTACGGGTCCCTTCCAAAGCCCTGGGAGAAGTCTTTGCAATGCACTCATTACACATACTGTATAAACTGTAGCCCCTATGAAACTTGGATCTATTTTGTCAAAACTACTCATTACTTACATAGAAGGAGATGGTATGCTATATATGACAGTTTCGGTTGATAATTGTCCTAGAGATTGCCTTTAAAATCTTGTTTTTGAGATATATGATCTAAAGTTTTCTTAGACTGTCTAATACTTACAATATTACAAATATATTCAATGTGAGAGAGCAAGTGAGATAGAAATCCATTTCCAGGAAGATTTTATGTAGACCATTTGGGCATATGTCCCCCTGTGATTTTAGATGCTGCTTTAGCCCTTGAGATGACATCATCTTGCCACAAAAGTGCTGATATCCTACAAAGAGAGATTCGTGCGTTTGTCCTTTCCTTCGGAACTGCCTGCATTTTCTGAGAAAGGCCTTGCAGAAGAAAAAAAGACAAAGACTTCCAAGTGTTTCCCAGGAAGCCCCTCCCCGACTGATATCCTTTCACCTTTCAAGTCCACTGTTGCTATTTCAAGATATATCCAATGGAAGAATAGTGATATGGTTCTTGTTACATGAATGTGTATTTACTATTAATAGATTGTGCATTTAAAATTACCCAAGATTAAAAATGAGTTTAAAAAGGGACAGAAACATTGTAATGGTCATGTTAGATGAACTTTCTGTGTTATCTGTATAAACGTGTACATTTATTTAGGAATGGGTTCGGTGGAGGTCGGTGATAAAAACTAGGATCAGTTGAAGAAATGAAAAAATTAGGATCAGTAAGAGAAAATGTTTCCTTTATCCTAATTTAACTATAAATATACATTTAAAAAGCTTGCTTGTTTCTAGGCTTTAAGGAGATATGTAATTGCTCTCTATAGATAGATGTATGTCTTTGGTTTCTGTGATTATTGTTGATGTTTGATCATTATATTATGGGAATCTGACGTCTCTGCTGATTTTCTAAGAACCACACTAATGCAAATTTCTCAAAGAAACCTTTTATGTCTAATGATTTAGTATGACTCCGACCTTAGATAGTCCTCTGTATTGTAAGATTCTGGTGCCAATGTTCCTGCATGCAGGAACAGGATTGAAATAAGAACGGTAAAGGAGAATTTTGTAGATAATCCTTTGAGCTGAGGACTGTGCTTGTCATTGAGAAAGGAAGTATATACATACAAAATTAGGAGATGGGAAGCTGGCTTACCGACCAACTTGGACTGATTACTTTTCTCTTGGCCAATTACTGTTGAACTCTACCCTGAAGAGGCTTTGGGAAGGAAATGTCCACTGTTATGGACTTCACTCCTGTCTGCCGATAGTTTGAAGGTGATAGCAGACAGCACCCAGAGGTGTTCCTGTCTTCTACTTTCCTCAAACACTTAGGCCTTCCCGAAAGTTCTTCATCAACAGGCAAAACTATCTACCTACTGTCCACACATCTTTTCTCGTGCCCTAGTCCACGACTTTCAGGTTGGAAGCTTAAGCCAGTTTGGCTCTAGGTTTTTGGTTTCTAGTGTGCTGGTCATACTCTGCATTTATTGTTTTAGAGAATGGTTGTTAAGGGGACCAGAATTTGTGTGGGATTTTTGCCTTAACCAGTTAACAACGTGTTGTTTTTTTCCAAAAGGCACTGACTAGAACTTAGCCCAAGAATTTAACTAGCACTTTTCTCTATTACTCCGTGGAGCTTAATATTGAAATTCTGACTTTAGATACTTGGTCCTCAAAAGAGCAGGACATTCAGGAGGAGGCAAATTGAGGGATTCCAATGTAGAAGTCTATAGGTGGTTCAATTAAAATTCGGTCTTGATTTTGAAGCTCTATTTTTAACCTCTGACCAGGTGTTTGACTAGATTGGTATGACTAACATGCTAGACAAAATTAGTGTATAGGCATTAATAGGCTTCACACTGAGATATTGTTTTATTTTTACTTTAAAAAGTATTGCCAACAGACTGTACAGTGTGGGAAGCAGACAATACTTAAAAGCCAAGTGGCTTTCCAGCTTATTTTGATGTTATTTTTATTTAAAGATCAGTGTGACCATATCACCTCAATGTCTGAGGATCTAGGATCAATTACCTTTTCATTTCTATATTTGCTTTTGGTATCTTTTGTCTATGAAAACAGTTTGTGAACTTTAGAATTAAGGACCTAAATATAATTTACTGTAAGTGCAAGTTGAGACTGGAGGATCATACGTGGTTAGAACCTTGGCAGAACTACTTGAAAAAGAAGATTTTGCAAACTGGGGCTATAGATACGGAACCAAAAATAATTCTTTCAGTTTAAGATTACTTTGCTCTCCTTACAAGGATGCAATTAAACCTAATAGGAAATATGTGTATGTCCTGGTGGGGAGAAATGGGCTTGCTGTGTGGATGTATGTTTTACAATTAATAAATATTATATCTTACTGAGCTCCACAGATGGTTTTATTTGCATTTATTTAAGAGCATACAAATAATGTATACAACATTGTGTGGAATTTAACAACTAAATTTGAAATAATCTGTTAATTCTTTTTTGGAAACTTTGGATACAGGGGTGGCAAACTGTCTTTTTTTCAATTAAGTTTTTAATTTTAATTCCAGTATAGTTAACATAGTGTTATGTTAGTTTCAGGTGTACAATATAGTGATTCAACAATTCTCTACATTACTCAGTGCTCATCATGGTAAGTGTGCTCTTAATCCCCTTCACCTATTTCACCCAGCCCCCCACCCACCTCCCCAGTGGTGACCCTCTATTTGCTCTCTATTTAAGGGTCTGTTTTGAGGCACCAGGGTGGCTCAGTCGGTTAAGCATCTGCTTTTGGCTCAGGTCATAATCTTGGGGTCCTGGGATCGAGCCCCATATCGGGCTCCCTGCTCAGTGGGGAGTCTGCTTCTCCCTCTCCTTCTGCCCCTCCCCCCACCTGTTCTCTCTCTCTCTCTAACAAATAAATAAATAAAACCTTTTTAAAAAAAAAGGGTTTTTTTGGCTTGTCTTTTTTCCCCCTTTGTTTGTTTGTTTTGTTTCTTAAATTCCACATGAGTGAAATCATATGGTATTTGTCTCTGACTGGCTTATTTCTCTTAGCTAATGCTACTCTCTAGATCCATCCATGTTGTTGCAAATGGCA